GACTTCCCCTCACATATATTTATCCATGGCCATCATGTATCCCCTGAGCTTTTAATTTTTATTTTATTATTTTATTTATTCTCTGACTTTTTCTTAATATGAAATGCAGTTTACATATGACTTAAAACAAAATATCACCAAAGCAACATATAATACACTTTAAAAAAAACAGCATTAAACAGACAATTATAAGATAAGAGATTCCACTCAAATATTAGGAAGAACTTCTTTTGTGTTAGAACTGTTCAAGAGAAGACTAGATTGTTTCTGCGGGTGGTGGACCTTTCTTCTTTGGGGGCCTTAAAACAGAGGCTGGATGCATTGTTGTAAGATTTTCTGGCTATGTGGCCATGTTTTAGAAGCATTCTTTCCTGACGTTCCAAGGAACATGAAAGGCACTGCAGACTACTTCAACCAGAGAAGTCAGCCAAAGCAGAGCACCTGATGTACCAACCTGGACACAGCATATTATTTGAGAACACAGAAATGCTCGACCACTCTCCAACCACCATGTCAGGCTACACAGAGAAGCCATTGAAATCCACAAGCATGTGAACAATTTCAATGAAAAGGAAGAAACCATGAAAATGAACAAAATCTGGCTACCAGTATTTTAAAAAAAAATCTAAAATTATTACAGCAAATAAAGAACAACACTCAAACACAGGGAAACTTCAGACAAGAAACAGTCAGGAACATCTATCACCTCTCAGTAAAAGATTCCTCCAGGCCACAAGACGCCAAATCTTGAAACTGCTAAGCTATTTAATGCAAAACAAGGTGGCCAATTGAAACATTCACACCTACCTCCAACAGACAAGAGTTCCTTCTCCCACTCTGGTCATTCTACAGATATATAAACCCCATTTTCCTAGTTTCCAACATACCCCATGACCTCTGAGGATGCCTGCCATAGATGCAGGCAAAATGTCAGGAGAGAATGCTTCTAGAACATTGCCATATAGCCCAAAAAACCTTCAACAACTCAGTGATTCTGGCCATGAAAGCCTTCGACAATACAGAGGTTGGATGGTCATTTTTCAGGTATGATTTATTTATGTGTCCCTCACATGGTGTGAGGAGGAATTGTGTGGATGGTTATTGGAGTCCCTTCCAACTCCAAGGTCTATCATTCTGATATTTAAAAGAGTCATTTGAACAGTTTAAAAGACATTAAAAGAACAGTAAAATAAACTACAACATGTCTGTGCCACAACGATTTAAAGCCAAAGGTCTGCTAGATCTTTGCTTGCTAGTGAAAAAAAGGCAGAAAGAGGATAAACAGACCATCCTGAGAGAAGGAATCCAATCACCTGGAAGGAGCCACTGAGGATGCTTTCTTCCACGCCTGCATTAAACATGCCTGCAATGATGGTGGGACTAAGAAAAACACCCTTCCCAACTTAACATTCAGGTAGGACTCTAGTGAGATAAGATTTTTCAAAGAGTTTTGATGTGGTAGCCCTGATCGGCTTCCACCTGCTCTGCAGATTAAAACACGACATCTCAGAACAGATATTATAAATCTTTGTAAGAGACAGGAAAGGGAAACCAAAATTATGAGGTTTTTGTAGCAAGAAAATACTATAATGTTGTTTGTATTTGGGAGAAAAGGCAGCAAATAACACAAAATGGGCCTGAATCATATGGTTGCTCCCAACCTTAGTAGACCCAATCATTGTGTTTTTTTTAAATGAGGAGGCAATGAGGAGACACATGTGTTCAGTGGGCTGATTTTAGCTGGGACTATCAGTAGGGCTTAGCCCAGGCTTGGGAAAATTTGGGCCCTCCAAGTGTTTTGGACTTCAACTCCCACAATTCCTAACAGCCTCGGGTCCTTTCCTTTTCCCCCTCAGCCGCTTAAGCGGCTGAGGGGGAAAAGGAAGGGGCCTGAGGCTGTTAGAAATTGTGGGAGTTGAAGTCCAAAACACCTGGAGGACCCAAGTTTTCCCATACCTGGCTTAGCCCACAATATGACATTGGTTAAACAATGTATTGGGTGGAGAAAATGGAGAAGATGCTTCATTACAACCAGGATCATTCTGTTACACCGAATCATAGAAAATTCAGTATCGATATAAAGACCAGAAAAGTGTACATTTATATACAGTGCATAGTAAAGTCTGGAATAATTTCCATATTATGCTGTCACGGTCATGTATTGTGAAGGATTTGAAAGAAGAATAGACATACTCATGCAGGATAAGGCTATTGCTTCCAGGATTGGAAGTACCATGTTTTCTACCATTATCATGGTATCTACCAATATCTACTGGGGGTAGGGATTATTGCTTCCCTGTCCGACTTGTGGGGTTTCTATAAGCATCAGATTGCCCACTGGAGGGAACAAGATGCAATTAAATGTGCCTTCAGTTTGCTCCAGTAATGCCTGTCTTATGCCTTTAATGCTTTTTGATAAGAGTAAAGGTAAAGCTTTCCCCTTGACATTAAGTCTAGTCATGTCCAACTCTGGGGGGGGGGGGGGGGGGGGGGGGTGCTCATCTCCATTTCTAAGCTAAAGAGCCGGCGTTGTCTGTAGACACTTCCAAGGTCATGTGGTCAGCATGATTGCATGAAATGCCATTACCTATTTCATCTACTCGCATTGTGGTGCTCGTCTCCATTTCTAAGCCAAAGAGCCACTGGCTGTTGTCCATAGACAGCTCCTAAGGTCATGTGGCCTACATGACTGCATGGAGCATTGTTACCTTCCCGCAGAAGTGGTACCTATTTGATCTCACATTGTGGGGCTCATTTCTATTTCTAAGCCAAAGAGCCAGTGTTGTCCATAGAAACCTCCAATATCATGTGGCCAGCATGACTGCATGGAGCACTGTTACCTTCCTGCAAAAGCAGTACCTATATGATCTACTCACATTATGGTACTCATCTCCATTTCTAAGTCGAAGAGCCAGCGGTGTCCATAGACACCTCCTAGGTCATATGGCCAGCATGACTGCATGGAGTACCATTACCTTCCCGCAGAAACTGTATCTATTGATCTACTTACGTTTTGGTACTCATCTCAATTTCTAAGCCAAAGAGTTGGCAGTGTCCATAGACACCTCCTAAGTCATGTGGCCAGCATGACTCATGGAAGGTCATTACCTTCCCGCAGAAGGTAATGACATTGATCTACTCACATTTGCATCTTTTCGAACTGCTAGGTTGGTAGAAGCTGGGGCTGACAGCGAGAGCTCACCCTGTCCGTGGATTCGAATTGCCAGCCTTCCGATCAGCAAGTTCTGCAGCTTAGCGGTTTAACCTGCTGCACCACAATGGCTACAAATACGCACAAATATGCACAGGGACACATTTTAAGGTCATTTAAGCGTGAGGATTCTGACTATGTTTCAGCTTCCTTTCCCCACATCATGTTACCCTCCCAGTACCTTTGATCCCTGGGGTTGATGGGGCCACCCATAGGACACAACCTGGCCTCTCCCAGGAGAAAAAGTCGGACACCACACCGATCCTGACCCTGAGTAACAGGAACCAAGTCCTAGATAGAAACCGGCAGTTCTCCCTCGCCAAAGGTTTTTCTTTTCAGCGCAGAGAGGAGAATAATGAGGACTTTTTTGCCAACACACATTAGAGTCAAGCCCCAGATGCAGCGATAGACAGATCTTCCAAATTACCCTTCCACGTTGCCTCCTAGGAAGAGAGAAACGCCTGCTTGAAGTTTTGTGCTGTTCTAATTGTGATCCGAGGGTTGTGGTTGGAGCTCTGGGCAGGCACGTATAGCTGGGATGAAGCAGGGAGGAGGAGGAGGGGAAAGAGAGGCAAGGAGGAGGGGCCCCGCGACGTCTTTCTCGGAGCCTCTGAAGCCTATGGGAGTCATCCTTTCGGGATCGGGAAGAAGAGGGGCACGAACGGAAAGGACGCGCAGGAAGGCCCCCGCCCTCCCTGCTTCGGAGAGAGCTTCCGAGAGGCTTACTTACTATCGCTTGCAGGCGCTGAGGAAGGGGAGGAGGATCGCGGAAGTGGGAGGGGGGAAAGAAGCCCTTCCAGCCCACTCCACCCCCAAGACCGGGTCCTGCCAATTTTTTCCCAGCAGCCAAGAGGCACCGGAGCTGTTCTTCAGCACCGCGGTGCGGGGGAGCTGTCCATTTCAGCACCACCCGGCTCCCAATGCAGTAGCTCCGCTGCTCCCCGAGACGAGATCTGGAGCGCCAGGCGCCGGCAGCCTCTCCTGCAGCAAAAGCCCGCCTGTCATCTGCTTTGCCTTCTCTTCCGAAGATTTCCAAGGCAAGGGGGAAGGAAATCCGCCTTCCTTCTCGGGGAGAGACTCCCCCCTCCTCTGCCTAACCTAGAGAGAGATCTCGATATCTCAGCACCACCAAAACCTTGGCGCCTCCAATAACAACTGCTGCTCAGCCTCGAGGAGGGGGGAGGACGAGAAGAAGAGCCATGGAAGGCACCACCTCCGCACCTGTTCAGCTGGAATCAAGGGCTTACAATATCCTGGCCAAGCTGGTTCGGTGGTAGGAAGAAGGCGAAGGGAGAAAGACAAGAGAGAAGGAAGGAAAGGAGAAAAAAGAGCAAAGAAGGAAGGGGAGAAGGGGATTGGAAGGAAAACAAGCCGACAAAACAACACCCCCCTCCTTCCAAAAAAAAAACACACACAAAATTAATAACAATCCGAGGAAGATAACTGGGAAGGAAAGGATTTTTTCATGGCGCAGGCTGCAGAGCTCAGCAAGAAGGCTGAAGGTGGCATCTCTGCTCTGACGGTCTCTAACTGTCTAGGTCCAGAAAATGAGCGAGTGTGTTGAGGATGCTGTTTCTTCTATTGCCGCTGCTGCTGCTGCTGCTGTTCCCCTCTTCACTGTGGAAGCCATCTCCAAATTAGCCATTACATATGGAAACTGGAGACCAGAATTTTAGGAAAAGGGATTAAGGCGTCTCATTTTGGGAGGGAGGGGCGTTCTCTAATTTTTTCCCCTTTTGTTTTATTTTTTTAAATATATATATATATATATAAGATATATATACATACAAACACATATATATATATATACAAATATATATATATTTATCTTATAAAATAACCGCCAGAACGTTTCTCTTTTCAAAGGCCAGCCTCTTCTTCCCCGTGTGATTTTTTTCTCCCTCCTCCCATTTACACAGATTCCGTGGGCTTTCTTACCTCCTTTTTTATATATACATATATATACACATATATATCTATATCTATACTGATATAGATATATAGATAGAGATTTCTCTCGGATAGATACCATTATTTATTTATTTATTACTATTATTATTATTAATAAATATTATTATTATTAGAGGAAAATATTATTATTAATATTATTTTTAATTATTCTTCTTAACCTACCCCCTACACACACACACACTCAGACACACGGCCCAAGAATCAGAAGGCGGTGGGGTCTTTGTAGAATGAAGAATTATGGGGCTGTTTGACCGAGGTGTTCAGATGCTTTTAACCACCGTTGGTGCTTTCGCTGCCTTCAGCCTCATGACCATAGCTGTGGGGACCGATTACTGGCTTTACTCCAGAGGGGTTTGCAAGATGAAAGGGACCGGGGAGAACGAGACCAGCAAAAAGAACGAGGAAGTCATGACCCATTCTGGATTATGGAGGACCTGCTGCCTGGAAGGTATGGCATTCTGGATCTCCCTCTTCTCCCCTCCCTCCTCCTCCTCCTCCTGCCCTCCCCACGCCACATCCACTCCCACCTGCACCCTCTCCCCCCAAAAAATATCCTTCTCACTTCTCATGGAAAGCAGAAAGCTTGGTTTAGTTTCTGGGGACGCGCAGGAAAGTTGGGGAGATCGCTTCTTCCTCTTCTCAAGGCCTCCTTCTCTCCCTCCAACCCACTTCCCCCCCTTGAAAACCTCGCTAAGCTAACTCGATTCCGTGGGGCCGCAACGCCCAACAGTAGCGCCTTCGATCCGCCTCTTTCCGGCTTTTCTCCCTCCTTTTTTTCTTTTTGGAACGCGCGCGAAATGTAATGTTCTTGGCCTGCGCCGTGTTGGCTTCTCCTGCCTCGGGTGCGCGTGTCGTGGGGAGGGAGGGAGGGGGGAGGTCGTGGCGGGACTGGGAGAGGGAGGTGGGCAGAGGAAGTTGTGCTTGGTTCCCTTCATCACGGCCACTTGTGTGTTTCACTCAGGAGGATGCCTGAATGGGTACACTCGCTCTAGCTCCCTCCCCACAAAACGTACATCACACCTTAGTTGTTGACTTTCTGGAGAGGGGGGGGCAGTTTGGTCAGGGTCTCCCCCAGCAGTTTGAATGTGGTCTTGTTTGTGGTTGGCTTCAAAGTGGGATTGGAGGGGAGTTGGGGAAAGGAGCAAGTTGCCCATGGAACAAGTGGTGAGGAAGAGAGGGAGGAAAGAGGGAGGGAGGAGGGAGGGAGGGGGGAGAGAGGGAGAGAGAGGATGGAAAAGAGGAAGGAAGGAGAAGGAAGGAAGGAAGGAAGGAAGGAAGGAAGGAAGGAAGGAAGGAAGAGAGGGAGGAGGAGAAGGGGAAGGAGGAAAGAAAAGAAGAAGGAAAGAAAGGAAGGAAGGAGGAAGAAGGAGAGAGGGAGGGAGGGAGAGAGGAAGAGGAAGGAAGAAGAAAGGGAGAGAGGGAAGGAGGAGGAGGAGGAAAGAAGAGGGAGGGAGGCAGGAAGGAAGGGAAAGGAAGGGAGGGAGGGAGGAAGAAGAGAGGGAAGGAGGAAGAGGGAGAGAGGAAGGGAGGAGGAAGGAAGGAAGGAAGGAAGGAAGGAAGGAAGGAAGAGAAGAAGGAAGGAAAGAGAAGGAAGGAGGAAGAGGGAGAGAGGGGGGAGGGGGGAGGAAAGAAGGAAGGAAAGAAAGAAAGAAGGAAAAAATAAAGAAAGAATGAAAGGACTCCTCTTCCTCTTCCCCTCATCTCTTCCCTCATCTTTGATGGGAAAGCGGACTAGAAACCCAAAAGATGGCTGAGGACTTCTGGTGCAGCCCGCTTTTGGGGCACAGGCAAGGCTGTAGCTCTGCTCCCTCCAAAACACCTCCCCCGTTTTTCAGCTGGGCTATTCTCCATGTGAGAGGGAGGGAGGGAGGTGTCGAGAGGGGCTCTCCCGGCCGTGCCTGGAAAGAGAGGGAGGAAAGGAAGGACAGGCAAACAACCGCGGAGCGCCCGTTTCCAAGCTCAGAAGCTGGAAGTTGGGGGAGAGAGAACAAGGAAATGGCCGTGGGATGATGGGTGATCCTCTGTCACGCATGTCCCATGCTTGGCTTGTCGGGTCCCCGCCTCAAAAGGCGATTGGCGGCCGCTGGGCTGGCAGGGCGACGGCTGGGAGACGGGCGAGGAGCGGATCCCGCAAAATGGGATCCGGGGAGGAGCGGGGGAGACTGGCAGGCTCCCCCTTTGCCTCAGTGGGCTCCTTCGCTCTAGAATGAGAGGGGAGGAAGAGGAGAAGGCCAAGTGCGCTTGGAGGAAGAACCTCTGTGGCTGGGAAGCAGAGCGGCGTTGCTCTCCTCCCTCCCTCCCTCCCTCCCTCTCTCTCCTCCCCCCGCACCCGCGCCTCTTCTTGGTGCAAACGGCTGAGTGATGGCTGAACATGTTTGGAATCGCTAAGTGACTTCATTGAGCGATGGTCTCTTTTGACGCATACTGCATCTGGTGCCCTTTCGCGCTCCAAGCCGCTGCCTTTCGGATTCTGCAGAGCGGTTCCAGGATGGGGAGGCACTAGGCCAGCCAAAAAAGGGGGGAGAAAGAGAGAAGGTGGGGTGGGGAGAGAAGGAGGGAAGGACTGGGGAGAGAGGGAACCGTGCCTGGCCATTGCAACCGTGGTGCCCGAGGGAGAGAGAGGAAACCCCCGAGCCCGCCCAAGAGCCCTTTCCCCCCAGCACGGGACGCAGGTGGGCACCACTTTCAACTGCCATGGCCCAGCGCTAGGGAATCCTGGGTGTTGTAGTTTTGAGGAAATGCCTTTTCTGCCCAAGAGTGCTAACTACGGGCCCTTCCGCACAGCCCTATATCCCAGAATATCAAGGCAGGAAATCCCACATTATCTGAGTGTGGACTCAGGCCCCTTCCACACAACCCTGTATCCCACAATATCTGCTTTGAACTGGGTTATCTGAGTCTGCAGGATTTCCTGCCTTGATATTCTGGGAAATAGGTCTGTGTGGAAGGGCCCTGAGTCCACACTCAGATAATGTGGGATTTCCTGCCTTGATATTCTGGGATATAGGGCTGTGTGGAAGGGCCCTACAACGCCTATGTTTCCATTACACTGAAGCAAGGCGGTTCAAGTGGGGTCCAGCTGCGTTCATTCTACAGTCTAGATCAGGCATGGGCAAACTTGGGCCTTCCAGGTGTTTTGAACTTCAACTCCCACAATGCCTAACAGTCAGTAGGTTGTATTGATGAAGGCTTCCATGGCCGGAATCACTGGGTTGTTGCAAGTTTTTTTCAGGCTGTATGGCCATATTCCAGAAGTATTCTCTCCTCACGTTTCGCCTGCATCTATGGCAGGCATCCTCAGAGGTTGTGAGGACGTCAGGAGAGGATGCTTCTGGAACACGGCCATACAGCCCGGAAAACTCACAGCAGCCCAAAATACTTTTGGTTCCAAGCATTTCTGATAAGGAAGATACAAGACAATCATAGAATCATAGAGTTGGAAGAGACCTCGTGGGCCATCCAGTCCAACCCCCTGCCAAGAAGCAGGAAAATTGCATTCAAAGCACCCCCGACAGATGGCCATCCAGCCTCTGTTTAAAAACTTCCAAAGAAGGAGCCTCCACCACACTCCGAGGCAGAGAGTTCCGCTGCTGAACGGCTCTCACAGTCAGGAAGTTCTTCCTCATGTTCAGATGGAATCTCCTCCCATCATGGAAGATGCATGCCAGGACCTGTAAAACTCTGCTCATTTGTTACAGTGGTGAAAGTACACTGTAGAATGCTTCTGGAACATAGCCATACAGCCCGAAAAAACTTACCACAACCCAGCCAGTAGGCTGTTAGGAATTGTGGGAGTTGGAGCCCAAAATACCTGGACCCAAGTTTGTCCATGCACCCACGGACGGAGAAGGAGGATTTATTTGTGAGAGGCTGGAGGAGAGAAGGAAGGATAAACGACGGCCCCCATGGTCACATTTAATGCAGTTTCAAACCAGTTGATGAGAAAGTGGTTGATTGCATAGGAAATCCTGGAACTGGTTGGCTGCCGGATGGTGGTGATGACACAAATCCTCCCCGAGCACTGAGGAAAGGCCTTCTTTCGTGCCCTTTTGTGAGTTTTCTGCCTGGCCTCCGAAATTGGAAGCTCGCTCTCAACTGCATTCAATGGCCAGCCTGGATGGGCCTCCATGGCCTTCCTTGCTGGGGCTTGGGAGCTGCTAGGCAGATGGGGGAGCTGCTGGCGGAGGGGGAGAAGGAGGGAGGGAGTCTGAGGCCGGCTGTGCTCCGGTGGATCCGCACAGACACGTCTCTCTGGCGGCTGCGAGGCATTTGGCGCGGAAGCACGAGTCTCTCTCCCTCAAGCCCTTCCTCCCTGGGAAGCTCTGGCCCATTAAAAGGGCCAGGCCCCAGTAATTAAAAGCCCCCAGTAACCCACTTTTTGGGGCCTTCAAGTCGGGCCGACATGCATCCACACTGTAGTATTGATACTACTTGAACTGCCATGGTTCGATGCTAAGGAAGCATGGGAGATGCACTATTAGTATTTAGGAGTCCAAAGGCCTTCTATAAAGCTAGCATCTAGCTATGGCAGTGCAAGTGGCCTCAAGCTACCTTCATCCCTCAGTGTGTGGGCCTAAGGAAAGGAGGAAGCTATAGAAAGGCAAAGGAGAGTGTTGCCCCCTCTCCATAAGAATTCTGCCCTTCTTAAAGGCTCCTGTCCCCTCTTTCAGTCCCAAATTACTAGCCTTGTGGTCATCTGAAAAGCTGGAGTGTTTAGGAATACAGTTGATGCATCCAAGGGAAAAGAGGCAGGCAAAGTTCCCAAAGGGATGCAAATACAGCAAATGGGAAGCATTTTCAAGTGCCTAGATCAGGCATGGGCAAACTTCAGCCCTTCTGGTGTTTTGGACTTCAACTCCCACAATTTCTAACTGCCATCAGCCTCAGGCCCTTTCCTTTCCCCCCTCAGCCACTTGAGTGGCTGAGGGGGAAAAGGAAGGGGCCTGAGGCTGATCAGCTGTTAGGAATTATGGGAGCTGAAGTGCAAAAAACTGGGAGGGCCAAAGTTTGTCCGTGCCTGGTCTAGATCTCTGCAATGATAAGCTTAAGTGGCTGTAGGGGAAAAGAAAGTGTCCTTAGGCTGACTGGCTGTTAGGAATTGTGGGAGCTGAAGTCCAAAACACTGGGAGGGCCAAAGTTTGTCCGTGCCTGGTCTAGATCTCTGCAATGATAAGCTTAAGCGGCTGAGGGGGGAAAGAAATAGGCCTGAGGATGACCGGCTGTTAGGAATTGTGGGAGCTGAAGTCCAAATCACTTGGAGGGCCAGAGTTTGCCCATGCCTGGTCTAGATCTCTGTAATGATAGACATTTGGGGAAGAAAATATCAGGCGAGCAGAGGCAGAAATCTTTAGGTAGGTAGGTTTTTACTCTCTTTTCCCCCTTCCTCAACTATATTCCTGGACTAGGCCAAGGATGCTCCTTACTTGCCTTGGGATAAGTTAGCTAGCC